ATGAAAACACTCATGCACCCAGCTTTTTCACCTGGATTTAAAGAGAGAGTGTGGTAGCGGTATTCAGCAGGCTTACCTACTTGGCCACAGATAGGCTTATTAATTATTATATCAGGGGTGGCCAAGGTCCTTGATAGTCCGAGCCATTTTTCAAAATTTGAAATTTTCGCGAGTCGCAATGAAATACGTATTGAAAAGATAAAAAGGTATTAAACAAAATTGTTTTACAGAAATTATATTTATTGAAAACATATAAATAAATGTACAAAATATGTGTATTGAATTTAAATATTAAAAATTAAACACATTTATTTTACTTCTCTTGATAATTCTTTAAAATTTGGTGAATAATTGGTGACAGTACTTCTCAGTAATTTTTTGAGATGCTGGTTAGTTAATAGTGATCGGTGTTTGGATTTCACGAATTTAAAGTGAAATAAAATGATTCACATAAGTACGTTGTTCCGAATAATGAAATAATTCGACAAGCAGCCTTTTTTAATTCAGGATACTTCGATTCTGGTACAAATTTCCAAAATTCAGTAATCGGCGTCTATTTATATTCTAATTGTAGAGCTTGATCTTCTTGTATCTCTATTAATTCTAATTCTCCAGATGCTTTTTGGGTCATAATTATATTGGAAATGGAAAACTCACCTTGAATTATGTTAATTTCAAATGGATTCAGAAAAAAAATCAAGAGACGATGGACGAAAATGAAATTTGTTACAACGTTGCACTTAGTCTTTCATATTTGTTGTCTGTAATTTAAAAAACATTTTGAAACACATACGGAACGATAATAATTTTTTAAAATATAATAACACAAAAAATGAAAAGGGAACTGGGGTATATTTATCGAGAGCCACAAATAATCGTTGAAAGAGCAGCATGTGGCTCGCAAACCGCAGGTTGGCCACCCCTGTATTATATAATGCAAGAACTAGTTAATTTTAACATGCCTTCTGTCACTGAAGAATCATGCATCTGCATTGAGCAAGAAAAATATTTAAAAAAATTCATTTTAAATTAAACTTACCATTAGAAGAATTAAAACCTAATGCTGTAATTTGAAAATGGGAAAAAATTTTATATTTAAAAAGCAAGGTTTTTTGTCTGAAAAGTAAAATATATTTTACACACACCTGTTGCTCCAGATTACTTTGGAGGAAATTTTATACAGGATAAAGTAAATGAAGTTGTACACATTACATTACATCTAGGTATCTTTCTTTTGTTTTCAAGACTGGAACAGTTCGTTACACCACACTACAACACAGAAACACTTAACCATAATCTCAAAGGAATCATGGGAACCGATGATTTTTTTTACATCGAAACGCAGTCTCATTGGATATTGATGCAGCTTATTGGACAAGCTCTCCTGGTATCAAAGCAAACCAGCTCCCCATTGCAATTTTGACGTCATCAGTTGACAGAGCGGGGAAGCGCTGTACTTGAATTCGACTTTAACAGACGATAGTACGAACGCCTCTTGCCAGCCGAAATTTGCAATTTGCCAGAGCGTTCCACTTAATTTCGCTCCTTACTTCATCAATTCTAGCGTTCTTGGGTTATCCCGCAGTGGCTAATCGCACCGACGGTCTGAATCAAGTATATATCCAGTATATATCTCGTTGGTCTGAATAGCCTCTAAGAGGCTAATCGCACCACCTACGATAGCGCATGCTCACAATCAGCCTAGGTACAGTCATTTTACGCCGATTTTAGGTATGGCCGGCAGTAGCGGGAGCAAGTGTTGTTAACCCTAACTCAGCGATAGTGAGGGTTGTTAACAGTTTCTGCTTATCTTCCTTGTATGCGATTTCTTTGTTAATTAATTTTTAGTTATTGTTATTGAAATTTACGCGTTATTTGTTTGATATAACTTGAACACGACGGATGTGACAAAAACAAATTTCTTGCCTTTTAAGTGTGGAAACAAGTTTTCAATATATTGTGAATTTGAAAGGGCAGAAAAATTATATGAAAATCAAAATTTTTCTGTATTGATTTAAACGAGAACGGAAAAATTTCACGAGGGTCATAAAAATCGTGAAACGTTACTGTAAAAATATGTTACCTTTGAATGTAAAAAAGGACATATTCATAAAACAGTCATCATAAACAGTTATAAAGAGTTAATTTATATTATTTAACATAGGAATTTTTATGCAAACTTAAATCCTAATCTTTAGCATAGAACTGTCAGAATTTATTATTCAATAAGGAAGCTTATTGAAAATTTTTATATATGCATCACTTTTTCAGTGTCCACACATGTTTATAGGTACAAAAACCATATTTCAAAACCAAAATAAATAAAAATTAAAATAAAGTTATTTATCAAATAAAACCTTATAAAATCTGATAATTCATTTGCGTGTGCAAATTTTCCAATCAAAATCTCTTACATTAACTTGTTGTTGTCTTTTAAATTACATCTCATTATTTATTTCAATTTAATTAATTAATGTGTTTGTACTAAGGTTTCAAAGTTCTTTGGAATATTTTTTGTGTCTTGAAAATAAAGAGTATTTCCATAGAAAAATGAAACAGGCATACAAAATTGTTAATAACCAGTATTATATGATTAATTGTTAAGTTAATGTTTTATTTTATCGCTTTTAATTTATTTCATGTTTACGTTTTCTACGCAGACACACTCTAATTTTTATTATCTTTTCTCAGACAAAAAATTTCAAAGAGGAATGAATAAAAATCTTGATTGTGCAAAACACATATTTGAATCGAAATGTATTCTATAAAGTACACAAAAACATAAACGAGGTTTTAGTCCCTCGCCCGATGAGTCAATTCCAACCGTTCAGGAAAACGAGAGGTTGGAATAGTTTACGCGAACATAAAAATCTGCCTTTTTTATATATATGCATAAATAAAAGAAACGTGTTCCTTCTTTTAAACGTTGAACAAGTTGCCTTTTCTAACCTTCTGAAAGTTGTTAACGCTAAAAAATGATAAACTATGTCAACGCAGTAGCCCACCTTTAAAAAAAAAAGAAGGAAAGAAAGAGACTCACTACAACAGACTTTGGCAGTTCGCGTACTTAGGATTCCTTCTTTTCTATTCCGTTCAAATGACGGATCCGACAACTCAACGCGCATGCGTGGTACGAATATTGGTGCGAATAGCTGAAGAGGCTAATCGCACTGGTAAGAATAGCATCGGCCGGAGTTTCCGACATCGATCTCGACCGGTGCCCAGACTAGACCCCTCATTCATTCTCCAGTATTCACAGCTCTCTGTCCGTAATTATTAACAAGTTACCCAGCATTACTTTACTACAAATATTGTTCACACCTTTCTCCTTGAACAATAGAAGTCCCTTCTCGTTGACGTCAAAGAAAGAGGAATATCTTCCATGGGTAACTTTTAATTTTTCGCAATAGCTGTAATTTTCAGAATTGAAAAAATCAATTAATTTAACGGATAATCTGCTATACACTCCATTGCAAAGTGCCGATGCTATCTGCACTAGTGGTGCGCTTAGCCTATTCCTGCTATTGGCACCAACATTAACCACGAATGCGCATTGAGTTGTCGAATCCGTCATTTGAACCGAATCAAAAAGAAAGAACCCTGAGTAGGCGAAATGCCAAATTCTCTTATAGTGATTTTTTTTTTTTTTTTTTTAAGGCGGGTGTTACTACGTTGGCTTAGTTTATAATTTTTTAAGCGTTGGTGACTTTCAAAAGATTAGGGAAATGTGTTCCTTTTCTTATATATATAAGAAAACGATATATATATATGTATATGTAAGATAAAAATATATGAATCAGAATTATAATATAATTAATTCTTCCTCTCTATTCTAAAATCGTAAATAACTTCTCTGCATTGCGTCATTTCTAGATCATTCTATGGCCCGCGCAACTCTGATGACGTAATAATTAAGAACTGAAACTGCCACTGTAAACCAAAACTTTTCTCTTCGCGTGCTTCCATCTTTCATAACTACGCACTTTAGCTTTTGCTCTCTACTGTGCTAACATGTAATTTCGCTGGCTTGCTTTCTATTTCAACAATAACAAAAATGTAAATCTTCTGTGGAAAGGCACGAATATCAATTGGAAATAAAAATGGAATTAAAACTGCCTCGACTGCCAAGTTCTTTAAATACTACACAATCAAAATTCTTCTTCAATATGGATCTAAGCAAGCATCGACACTGCTCCGGCTTTTCCTTTGCTTTTATTATGACATATATATAAAGAAGGAACGCATTTCCTTTACTTAGGTATATATATAAAAAGGGCAGATTTTTATGTTCGCGATGTTTATCGTTTTCCTGAACGCTTGGAATAGTTTAAATGGTTGATTTGGGGTGGGCGAGATGCTGTAAATATAATAAACTATTTTCCTTGAAAAGCTGAAATGAAGCTTTAATCAACTAAAACAGCACATAAAACAGAATATCAAATGCTACATTGTAAGAACAATATTTAAACTAAGAATGACTGTTGCCATTTCATGTAATGTAATTTTAGTGCTGCCAATAATATTAAATATTATACCACATTCATCCCTCCGTAAGATTATTAATAAGATACTTTGTCTGCCAGATAAGAAGGCTGACGTCTCTGCTTTTTCGGAGGCAAGGATTCACTCTCATGCAAGTTATCATTCGAAGTCTTTTCAAAATCCTCATGTTTGCTAGAGCATAGTAAATCACTGCCCTGGGAATCCTCTTCTGTCGATTTTCTTACAATTTTCGATACTGGTTCAGGAGCTTCAGTGGCCAAATCTTCATTCTGTTGAGGAAATGAATCTAAAAGTTGTTGGTTTTTATCCAACCCGATATCATGGGCATGTATAGGAGTATCTCCTCTGGGTGCTAAATATCGTATTGAAATATTGGCTTCACGACCATCTGGAAGTTTAACCATCTGGGTTAGCCTCAATGAGCTCCACTTCCTGCACAATAAGTTAATATTTATTAGCTCGTGTATGGTTCTTCATTAATACTGTTTCAGGTTGTGTTAACCACGTAAAGAACATCCATTATACAATCTTCTAGCATAGATGAGCATACGTTCATGTGGTGTGGCATTTGTTGCTGTATATAAGAGTGACCGGATCGAATGCAAAACAGCGTGCAGAACACCCTCCCAAAGTTCGATAGCCATGTTCTTTGATTTTAGTGCCAGATGGATGGTTTTCCATATGATTCCATTATACCTCTCTACTTGGCCATTTCCTTGAGGATTATATGCAGTTGCGCGACTTGTTGCTATACCAAGTGAAGTTAAGAAGCATTTTAATTCACGAGACATAAACAAAGATCCTCTATCAGAATGTATGTTGGCTGGCATCCCAAAAATTAAGAAAATATTTTACAGGTGAGCAATAACAGTAGCAGATGACATATTAGGACAAGGTATTGCAAAAGTAAATCTTGAAAACACGTCCACAATACTAAGAAGGTAACGGTTCCTGGAAGCCGTAGGCAAAGACCGTTGAAGTCTTTCAAAAAGTGCAGTTGCTTTAATTAAGTGTCCTTCTGATCTATAGAAGGGTGGTTTAACTTCACTGTAGCATACACATAAATTAACAGTTCTTCTAAATTCTTCTAACGAAAAAGGCAAAGTTTTAGATCTTATCAGCGACCAGCTATAGGACGACCAGCTTGACTCAGGGTTACTCCTATTGCAAATTCAGAAGCGTCAGTTTCAACTCTGAATGGTGTAGAAGCTGCAGCTAAAGAAGCGTTGGCTATATCTCTCTTACGGGAACTGAAGGCTTTCTCGGCATCTTTACTAAAGAAAACGTCCTTTAGTCAAAAGAGGGCGAATCTTTTCAGAGAAATTGGAAATCCGACGTCAATAATGAGCAAACATTCCCAGTGCTCGCTGTAGAGATCCTACATCTTTAGGAATAGGTAAATCCATTAGCGGTTTCAATCTATCAGGATCAGGTTTTATTATATTATTAGATACAGAGTACCCCAACAATTTTGCAGATTTCGTGGAAAATGTTCATTTTTCCTCATTGAGGGTTAGGTTATACTTCTTAGCACCAGCCATAAATTTCTTCAAGTTATTATGTTCAGCTTCATTCTTGCCACATATAGTTACATCTTCAAGATAGGGAAAGGTTTCTGATAATTTTTCATTTGAATTGAATTCATCAATTGTTCTTTCTAAAGAAGCAACTCCATTTGTTACACCAAATGGAACACGTCGAAATTGATATAGTTTACCTTCAAACGCTGCAGTTTCTCTTATTCTTTGATCCGAACCTGATAATAAGCACTTCGGAGATCAATTGTATTAAATTTTATATTTTGATACTTGTGAAATCAAATCTTCAATTTTGGGAAGAGGGTAAGCATCAATCATAGTAAATTTGGGAACATCTTCAGTATAGCCCACCTTCAAAGTTTGGCGAATTGCTTGGGCGCCAGAACGCGTGAAATATGTTGTTTTGAAAAATGGTTACCATCAAGATTTTTGACGAAACACCGTATTTCAAAAATGGCGGCCATCTTGATTTCACCAGAAATCGTGGATAATAGAAATAAATTTAAGACGATTATACGTGATTATAAGAGAAAAGAATATTAAGGAATGATTAATGAAAATGATTAAGGTTAAAAAGATGTAATTTTAAAAACAATGCCGGAAAATCTCATCTTTGCTTGGCTTTCCCAAATATATACTTTGCATGGTATCTTACATTTTTCACACCAAACTTTATTCTTCATTAATCCACAATCCATCAAAAATCCTCTAATATCTTCCTACTATCTTGTTAATTCATACATAAAATATGTATTTGGAATGCCCGACTTTCCAAAACTTGTTACGCTTGCTTGAAAACTCCCACCTTAAAATTTCCTTTAAAATCTCCTAATACTTAAACACAACATCACTAACAGCAGGTTTAGAGCAATCCATAACTAAATACGAAAAATATTATTTCCAAAGCAGTATTCTCCACAATATCTAAGCGTTAAAGAATCGACGAAAAGTGTGATATGAATTTTGTGTTTAGATAATTAAATTTTAGTAGAATTCTAATTAAAAATGTATTTTTCCGTGCAATGCAGCGCGAGATAAATTTTAAGAGAAAGCTACGCCGGAAAAGTAAGAATACAGGGGCACGTGCATTTAACTGTGAGTAAATGCATATCTCGGTAATTTGTATTGATACTGAATAAATGTAATTGACCACTATGTTAACTGTAACCGCAATGCCATCCTCTTTAGAAATCAGAAACTTACGGTTGTAATAAATATAATTGAGCACTATGTTAACTGTAACCGCAATTCCATCCTCTTTAGAAATCAGAAACTTACGGTTGTTTACATTGCGTTTTCCGAAAAATATGGGTTACCACATGCTCGTAAACCAGTGTGGATTGCCATATCATATCATTTATCGCCATTCGTGGCGATATATTTTGGTTAAAATTCTGGGTGGGCTATACTAAAGCTGTTTCTAAATTTGTTTATAATCTGCGAATAATCTATACCATTCTGGGTTTATGAGGTTCTCCTTTCACAACAAAAGCTTGTGCACGTCAAGGAGAATTACTTGGTTCAATTACACCTTCTTTAAGTAATTTACATACTTCTGTAGCTATGAATGTTTTATCTTCTTCAGTTTGGCGTCTTGACTTTGTAATAATAGGTCAATCAGGCTTGCAATTAGGGAACAATGACACATGGGCTACAAGAGCAGTTGCTAATGAACAAATTCTAAGAGGTGATCTGTCACCTTTAAATTCTATCTCAACAGAAGAATTATCTTTAAATAAATCATGCACGATAAGAAAGTCTGCACAGAGGTTTTTCATAATTAATACCTCTGCATTACTGTATACATGGGTTTGCAATCTGATATTAACTAAAGAACAACCCGTAACATCTAAGCATAGAGAAGACACCGTTAGCGGTGTTACTTTAGTAGACGGTTAAACGATTTTGGCGGCTTTTTTTTTTTTTTTTTTTTTTTTTTTTTTTTTTTTTTTTTTTTTGTGAGCAGTACGACTTATGGAACCCATTGCTTGACAAGTTATTTATGGTAACCGATACTTTGTTGTCATTTTATTTTAAAAATAATGCGTTTTATTATGCATAAATCCGGTGTTTTAAATATTATTTATGGCTTCTAAATATTAAAAATCAATTTAATTTTACATTTTTATTTGAAATAAAAATTTTAATGTTTATGATATTTTGTATAATTTATGTTGTGGATGATGTAATCAATGACGTCACCTTGCTTTAAAAGTTATCAGTTTTAATATCTATAAATTTAATCTAATGTTTTAAACATTACTTATGGCTGTTAAATATTAAAATACAATTTAATTTTGCATTTTTTTAAATGATTTTATTATGTATCATTGTTTAAGTAATTTTAATTCTAGGCATGATGTAATCAGCTCCCTGATTGGTTACAGAATATCTGTGCATTAAAGAGCTGTAATCAATTCAATTTAATCAATTTAATTAATCAATTTAACCCTGATCGGTTACTGAATATTTATGCATTACCGCGCCATTTTAAAATTTTATTATTCATCTCTTTCAATTCCTTAGATTTCATAGGAAATGGATTTGTCCCTTTCAAAGATTAATGTTGTTATTGGTAAGTACCAAAATTATTCGTATCGGAATAAAAGAATTGTCCTTTGAAGACCTTATTTTGGCCAACCTGTCTTTCCTAATCAAAGATTTATTTATGAATTGCAACGAGGGTCAGAGGAAATTTATTTTAAATTTTTGGAGGAAACCTCGCTAATTGCTTCTTCAATGAAGTGCGAGAAATGTGGATTACAGATGAAGATCGTTAGAACAGCCAATTCTGAAGACGACCGTATATGGCATTGTGGTCATGGTAGAAGAAGTAACCGCTGTAAAGGTAAAAAATGTAACCGCTGTAACGGTAAAAAAAGTATTAGACATTCCTCCTCTTTTACCGTCATTCAACTAATTGCTGTCATTTTAGCTCTAGTGTACGAAGCGTTCTTTTTTACTTATTTTAAAGTATTGGAAATTAAGTAATATTTTAATTCTTTTAAACGTCGGTATGATGGTTTTTAATTCGATATTCAATTTACGTAATATTTTAATCTAATTGAACTTTGGCGCAATGTTTTTATAGTAGTGTTTTTATTCTATTTCTTTGCTATATGAAAATAATAATTTAACCTTACTTTAGTATTTTATACTCGTAGTAAATGTATTTATTCACATTTTCCTGCCATCTTAAAAAACAATGTTTTCAACAAAAAATTAATCCATTATTTTTAACAATATTTATTTTTTAAAGTTTCGAATACTTTACTATGCGCAAAATACGTAAAAACAGCGTTTTTTAAGATGGCTGACGATTGTAAAAACCGCGCCAACAATTGCGCCAAAGTAAATCGCCAAAAATCTGTGCAACCGTCTACCAAAGTAGCACCGAGCTGGCCATGGTTATTCTATCAAAAAAGGTTTTACTTGAATTCGACATCTTTGTATAAAACACTGATTTATAAAACTTAGTGAACTACCGGTATCAATTAGGGCATTCAGCTGAACTCCATTTACTAGGATTTTAGTTATTGACCTTTGAAGATAGTGAGGAAGCATTGAAGCTGATGCTAGTGCATAAATTGCTGCTGTGGAATTAGTAGTAAAGCGTACAAGTTTGGATTTGTATACCTTTTGGTAATGGCCCTTTTTACCACATCCTCGACATAATGCATCTCTAACTGGGCAAACACTTCGTAAATGAAGGTCTCGGGGAAAATGCAGAATCGCCCACTGCTTGGCGAGTTTTTAAGAATTGCTGAATATACTGAGTATCCATGTACATATCGACCTATTTTTACTTAATAAAACATCCCTGAATTTCACAAAAATTGCATTTTATGATGACTGTTTATGAATATGTCCTTTCTTACAGTTATAGGTAACATTTTTGCACAATAACGTTTCACGATATTTATGACTCTCGTGAAATTTTGCGATCTCGTTTTAATCAAACCAGCGAAATTTTGATTCTCATATAGTTCTTTTGCCCTTTCAAATTCAAAATATGTGGAAAACTTGTTGTTATAGACGTTTAGATATTTTAATTTCTACACTTCTGACAATTGAGAAAGATAAATATTTAAATCATACCTATAAATTATACACTAATGTATCTCCCAGAAATTCCATTTCTTGTTTAAGTAGGCATCAGAGAAGACTAAAAGTTAGGGACAGTGATGTAAATAAATGCTCTGATAATTCTTGGACTGTTTGTTCCCAGACAAAAAATAAAATATATACTGTGCAGCGTCTTTTTGAAATTTGTCCGTGTCAGGATTTTTGCT